TCCTATAATTTCCATTCCCTCCCTGCTGTCCCCACTTTCTGCTCAGAATCACAATCCATTTTGTGTTATCCAGCCTCAAATCGGAAATGTGTTATGAAATAAGCAGTATTTTTTCTCCTCCCTCTCGTCGTCCTTCCTATGTCATGCTTTCAAGGCCTGGCACATCCTTTCAAGGCTCCTGTCCCATCTCACCAGCTGCCTTGGGCTACACCCCCTGACGCCTTGCTGCCCAGTCTCAATGCGTTTCTCTCTGTCCCTCCAATAGGTCCCCTTACCACCCCAGGGTCTTTACAAATACTGTTCTTTCCTTCTCTTTTCATGTAGCAAGTTCTTCTTCCTTCTGATTCATTTTTTCCTTCCTCTTTCCATCCTGGTACATCAGCATGTCTTTTCTCCTTTGGCTGTCCAAAAACTCAACCTGGAGGTTTAATTAAATGTAAAAGCCAAAGAGGAACCAAGGTGAAGCAAGAATCTGCTCTTTGACAGGACGAATTGCTCTGTCCTCATCAGCATACCTCCTTTTCTCCTTTTTACACCAAACTATAAGGGGATTCCTTATTTTGTTTATTTGTAGGGGTAAGCATGATCAAATGGGAGCAGTGGAGGTGGGTACTTAACACTCACATGGCCACTTCTCCCTCTGTCAGCACCATCTTGACAAGCTGAGGTCACTCTGGGTAAGAGGAGAATGCTCCCTGACAGACACTCCTGTGAGTCATACATTTCTCTTCATCACTCCTGCTCCACCTTAGTTTAGGTCCTCATCCCTCAGGTCTGGGGAGCTAAATAAGCCTCCCTGCTGATGCCCTGCTCTCTAGTTCCTCTCAATCTCAGGCATGCTGCCCTTGATTCCTTCACATGGCCTTGTTTAAGGACATATAGAGGAGCTGGCAGGTGGTGTGGTGATTAAAGGTCTTGGACTCCCACATGGCTGAACATGGTTCAAATCCTGGACATGGTTGCTTGCTTTCTCAATTTCCCTCTCTCTCTGTCTGATCAAACTAGAAAATACTAAATAAATAAAGTTAAATAAAATAATTTTTTAAAGAAAAGAACATATAGTGACTATAGGGGCTGGGAGATAGTGCACCGGTTAAGATACTAAACTCCCACGTGGCTGACCACAGTTCGAGTCCTGAACCTAGCAGCTTGCGCTCTCTCTCTCTCTCGTCAAATTTTTAAAATAAAAATAAATAAAATTAAACAAATAATAAAGAATTTAGAAAAGAACCTATAGTGACTATCACTATCTCGTCAGCCAAGGCCAAAGCCCTCACCCCGCCTATCCAGCATTTTCTCCCACTGCATTGCAAGGCCACATGATTTATGTTTTTCAGGTTCTGTGTTTTTCTTAATCCCACTCCACCACCCACTGACACCACCCAATCTGATCCTATGTACTCTAAAGTGCAAACTGAAATATTCCCTGGGTCAGACGGTGTAGTAGTTCTAGGAGGGCGACCATGTAGGAAAGTTCTGGGTTCACAGCTGGAGACCTCTGATTGTGTTAGGCATGTGCATGCCCATGATCTTAAGCCAAGGGTGAATAGTGCTAGTATGATCTCACTAGCTGGGGCCAGCAGATGGTATAATGATCACATTGCTGGACTCCCATGTAGTCGACCACAGTTCAAGTCCCGGACCTGGCAGCTTAAAACTCATGCCAGGTGCATATACGTGAGTGCCCAAAATCCTGAGAGGAAATGGAAGAGAAAAGATTGTGGCATGGCCAACCTCCCCCAGGGTGTGGTGATTTATTGCTTTTTATCTCTCTGGCTAGTACTTGTACCCTATAGCAAAAATCTCTCTTAAAACAAAACAAAACATCATTAGGACTTCTCTCACTCATGTAAAATATAAATAAAACTTTTAGAAAATCTTTCTTGATGTCTTCAGCCCACCACAGTCTTTCCATGGCCTCATCTCTAGGAACAGCATGAGCTAATAGTACCTTAGTTGCTATTGATTGATCTCCCATTGTTTTCTGTGCTTTAGTTTTGTCTTCTCTCCTGGGCACATAGTTGATGTTTCATAAATGTTTGGTAGAATTTGATTGAAGAAAATGTGGAAAATAAAGCTTTAAAAGAATTTAAGCCAGGCAAAACTACAATCATGCATGTCTGTATGTATGTGTATGCATGTACCTCTGTTACCATGCCAGAAGCTCTCTTGTACCTCCTCGAGAAACAGCATTGGATGACTCTTCAGCTCTCCAGGCTCCTGGGCTAATACTTAGCAGGGATGCTCTGTCCCATGCTGGTCCTCTGATGATTGGCATATGGCCCAGTCAGAGATTATGAGAAGACCTGGCTTCTGACCTCAGCATAAAGAGGCAATGTTTTCATCCTGGCACCAATACCTGCTGAGCCTATTTCTGTTTCTATGGAAGATAATTCATTCCTGGCTCAGTGGCAGGCAGAGTTTGTGGATGGCTTGGAGGGAAAGG